CTCTCTCCTGCACATGAGGGTACCCCCTATGTTTATAGATACTTTTTCAGTTTCAGAACTCCCCCCTACACCTACGGGAAGCAGGCGGCCAGCTGCAGTTCCCGCCACTGCAGCGCTGCAGTCGAACTTTGCGCCAATCAAACAAGAATTGCCTGCTGCAGCTACACACACTGTAGCTGGTGTGCAACAATTTCATGTTAAGAGCCCCGCACCGCAAATTCTTGTTTTAGGCACGAGGAGTATAACCGCAGGCCTAGATGAATGTGTGGCACATTTCTGGATCCTTGATAAAAATAATAGCTCGGGGTAAGCGTGGTGCCAAGTGAGCATTTGTCGAATAAAAAGCCGTTTTTTCGTCCTGTAACTTCTTATTCTTCCAAGTAGTAGAAACAAAATTTTCAGCTCAATTGTATTAGCCACATCTCAACGAAGCCTCGGTAAAAGCTCTGACTCATCTGGTTTCAGCCTAGTCGCTTAGAAGCTATTTTTGCGAGTTTTAGCATAGGGATCTTTGATGCTGTGCACAGTAACTTTGCCCAGCGATAAGCATTTCGGTGGGCCGTACCATAAAGGAAGTTGAAACCGAGTCATTGCTGCAAGGTAACAGCCACATTTAAAATCCCACTGAAACGACGCTATTTCTCTGTTCAGCTGGTATAAACCAGTGCACTTTCTTCTCCTGAAGTGTTCAGATTTATGGATGTCTATCAATGAATAATACTTGGGATCATTAAAAAAAATGCAAATTTAATGAAAATAGGAAAAAATCAGTGCATTGACACAAGAACACATGCCACGATCACACACTAAACGAGCATTCGAATTTCAGTCACACGCAAAGCTGAATTCCTGTAACAATTCAGGCTTGTGAGCAGCAAACAAAGCATGAGCCAATACCCATTCGTAGATTTCGTTTGTTTCATGATGGATGTACAATGAATGGGCGCTTTCTGCACTTCAGTCAAATCTTCAACTAGATCATTGAGAGCCGCTGAAAATGCAATAATCGTTTTTTTTTTTTTTTTCACTCAGCCGGTGTATCTCAAGCTTCCTTCATTCTCGAGCAGCGGTGGCACAGATGAAGTGTTTTTTTAATTCGCTGGCTGCAATCTGCACCTTGTTCTTGGTTATTCTTGCCATTCTGTTTTTTTTTTTTAGTGTTCTTGCTAAAATGACACAAGACACATGTACCTCTGTTAGCACCAGTCATGCCCACACAGTCTTTGTAATGAATACAGTCGAGTTATGCAGGTTATGTCAAAAATAACAAAGAACATGTGACAAACAAGAGCATTTAATACGGGGAACATGATCAACAAGAGTGCTTAATGAGGGGGAAGTTGTTTGCACTATTCACTTTTTAGCAGGTGGAAAACCAAAAGCAGTCAGTTTCGACTGTTTACTGGCCCTCTTATTGACATCTTTTCGCAAAGCATCCAACTACTGCGGGTGCCCTAGGTTTTTAGCAAACACAAAATCGCGCAGGGAGTCTAACATTTGCAAAGCTTGAAAGGCTATGAGCTTGATGCAAAGCTTAAGCCCTATGTACAGCTGACACAGAAGCCTAGCTAATTTTTCAGCCGCACAGTCGTACCATGCACGATTAACGTCCCCTTTTTGTAGCTCGAGTCATTGCAGTTATACGGGTTTGGGCGAATAAGGCAACAGACTAGGTCAACAAAACAACACTTTATTTTTATGTTAGCAAAAACACTTAAGTGTCGCGTAGAGAGACTGTCCGCTCTAGGAAGATAACAAAGGGTAGACGCTTACGCCTTTGTTCGTCAAATTCCTTTGCTCGCAGGGTGCATCTGGGGGTTGTCCTCTGTTTGGTGGCCGGTGCAAGAGAGCCTGTCCCATCGTGGTCATGCTCGTTTTCTCTGCCGTCTCAGTTTCCCTCTCCTTAACGAGGGTTGGTTCCTTCGCTGAATGGGGGAAACCCGTTCCGTTAGCCGGCAAAGGGAGATAGCGTGCGTCAATCGCGGGGTGCCCGGTCCCTTCGCAAGAGGCTTCATTGACTTGTTTCTCGAAGGGACAGACATGTTCTCGCAACTAGGCTGCCACCCTGCCATAAAAGAAAAAGGATCTTTGGGCGCACATGCTTCCCCACAAGCTTCCTGATGCGACACAACCTGCATGGGTTCCGATTACTTCTCGTCGTCACTGTTGACCTCTTCCACCCCAATAATAGCAGTGACGTTCACCTCATCGGTGAGGTCCTCATTTGTTGCTACTGCGTCATCGGCGTGCAAAAACTCCTCAAGTCCTGATGCGTCTCCATCACCATCATTCACCAACAACCAGAGCTCAGTCTTTTCTGTGTCGGCAGGAGTGTTGCAGCCTTCCACTTCCACCTCACTGGAATCCCCAGCAAAGCCCACCTTACAGAAGCAATTCGCGATGCTGAAGGAGCCGACTTCTGCCCATGGCACAGTGCACACAGCGCTGCTGCTGTGGAGGCTTAGGTGCCCTGGTGCTCTTTCGACAGGCGGCACACCCTCAGAATGGACTGCCCACTGCTCGTAGTGGCACCCATCTGACCTCCTCCCACTCCTCCGTGGCGGCACGACAGGGGAAAGCAGTGGTGGCATGCGATCTTCTTTGGCATGCACTCGCTGCGTGCAAGACCAAGTGCACTATCACCTAGCCGCCCGTATGTATGCTCTCATGCCCTTTAGCGTAATAGGCGCGGTTGGGGTGGCATTGTCGCAGCGTTTTTGCATTTTTTTTCGTTCAGGGTTGATTTCATTGCCCACATCTATTGTTATTACTGATACTTCATCATGACAGCATTGTTTAATAAGTTTATTTTGCCATAGAATACAATAAAAAAATAAAAAGCTGACGATGCCGGGGCTGTCTATTGTTATATCCGATATATTGTTAAAACTGGTATTGTTATAAATGGACTCAACTGTATTTTTTAGGGACGCACTTTCTCCTTTCACTGTGCCAGTAAATGTATTCGTTGAATTATTCATTATAGAAGATTGTTACCCGAGGTTTTTTTTACTCCACAGGAACTGCTTAACTCTGGTTGCAGAGAAGTAAGCACACTTTTTTTTTTGCAATCGCTCAGAAACAATGGAGTCCTCCGAAGGAGCGAGTACCTGTTGCCGGGATTCTTCTGGCACATTGCAAGGCCGCAGGAGGTGGTTGTTGTCCTTTCTTTTGCGGCTTCATGACAAGTACATTGGAACTAAACAAGAAACTGCATCACTCATCAATGCACATGCACCATGGTCGATTTCAGACATCCTTATTTATGATATGCTTATATGTCTTCAGAATGTCACTTTCCTGAAAGTGAACATCGTCCACCTTATTTGTCTTTCCCAAACTTTCCCGTGGATCTTTCCCACTTCTGCAGTAACAGCAGGTTGGACGGCAGAGAGAAGTGGAGTTTCTTAGAGTTTTTCCAGTACCTGCTGATGTGCTTGGGCACAAAACACATCGTTATGATGTCTGGAAGGTCTGAGCTACAGCGCACGGGATAGCAGCAACAGTAAAATTAACTTCAGCAGACGTACACACGTGCTGGTGCGTTTCCACATGGTAAATGCTTAGATTGTGCCGCGATGTCTACGATCGGAGAGTTTTCTACGCCGGAGACATCTGAGTGTCTTCGTGACTTTAGGCGTTGAATTGTCTTCAGAAGACCGCGGAGGCATACCACATGTACAGAAAGCGACGAGACATACACACAGACAAAATAAGTGCCACAAAACACAGGCATGAAATACAGAAACTGCAGCCATAGTGAAGGCAGCAGAGAGCAGCCAGTTACTTGGCACAGTTACACTGCAGTGCCCCCACACTCCTTGGAGCAAATCCTGCCCGCCTCAAAAGGAGGAGTTTGCGAACTGAAAAAGTATTTCTAAATGTTGGGTACCCCTGCATGCTCTGATCCACAACGGAAACTCTAATCACATCTTTAGATGCGATTGGATTTCCACCGTTCTCATGTAGCGGCATAGGAACCTAAGTTAACAGTCATGTTGTTACGACGTTTCGTACCTTCCTTTTTATTTGAACACCTCTCGTAGACTAGCACGGCAATAGTGAGCGCCAGAACTTCATAACTATCAAAAATAAAAATTAAATGATTCCAAAACAGCCTCTCAAAAACATGTTTACAATACAGTATGGGAGTCCAAGCATCGCACTTCACAGTGTGAAGTCGAGACAACTAAATACTTAATACAGGGCTCCCAATGAGTGAACATATAGTTGAAACTGCACACACATCCCAATGTAGAACAAAATCTTAGGTGTGTATGATCCATTTTGATGCGCAGAACAATATATGACATTTAAGCTTGCATCAAAGTGCCAAGGACATGTTTTTTTTTTTTTCATGGCTTAGTTTCAAGGATTCTATAATAAAACATTTTCTCACTGAAATACAGTAAACTCCCTTTAAGCCGACCTTTGTTAACACGAATTCTTGATAAAGACGAACAAATCAGGGATGTTTGTTTGGAATCCCATAGACTCAAGGCAAAAAAAATCTGCTTATGATGAACCATGTAACAGGCCTATTCTGTTAAGAAGAATTTTCACAGCGATATACAGAAGGTGAACAGCCAGAAGAATAAATTTTCCATTCCTTAAAAGAAAATTGGGCTTGTCTCTCCCATTTTTTCTTTTTCTAATCGTGAAAACAGGGTTGTGCTATAGTTTTGTTGTTAAAATGTGACAGCAATTCATTCATGAGGATATTTATTATGAACTCGTGAAATTGAGTACTTGTTAGATTAGTGTAAATATTCTACTTGAAAGCATAGTTTTTATCAAGCTGAGCCAAATAATTGCTTTTCTTTTTCCTTTCCTGGCCATTGTAAATATACTCCCTTCAGTGTTTTCAAGCAACATATTTGGTTGCACTTGGCACGTTAGCATTTTGTTTTAGGGGGCACTTTTGGTAGGATGAACTCCTGACATGGGCAACTTTAAAACTGCAGAAAATAGAGAGCACACAGCAAACATATGTAACTTACCGCCAAGCATGATGTCAATAAATCTTCAGGAGAAAACAACTGAAAAAAGAAAAACTTATAAAAGGGAATGCATTTTCTATAATGATGATTTCATTTATGCACTGTTATAGTTTATCTGCAGCAAAAGGTTTTATGTAAACAATGGTCAGTGAGTGCCGATGGACATTATTCATGCAACTCATGATATAACAATGTATTGTACTTATAAACTTGAATAAAAAATTCTTTATACAGTTTCAGTTACCTCATTATTAACTCAATCAAAAAGGCATCAATCTAAACAAGCCAAGGTATTCTAGCATCTCCTTTTTAGATGAAAAAATGAAGCACAAAAAAAACCAAGAAAGCACAAAAATTTGTTTCCAGGTAATATCAGTGGTCTAAAATGAAAACCTGACCAAAAGAAACTCTGGCTTGTTGCACTGGTAAAGAAATATTATAGGCTTTTCAAGATGCGTCACAAGCTTTTACACATATTTGGTCCTCATTTCTCAAGATCATTACAGACCAGCTTTTGCATGCAAAAGCAGTCAGTACTTGGTAGTTGGCTTGAATGGACACCTTCTTTGAGAATCATGCTCAGTGTGCTTCTCATGATCCCAAAGTGTGCTGCAACATCCAATTTTCTGCCTCTCTATTCAGTGCATAAAATAACATCAACTTTGCCGCAACACAAAATAGCTAGCTGCTGCTTTGTCACCCTCTATACAGTACATTCAACGACGCAGCTATGATGCTGCAGAATCAGTCAGCACTACCTAGCTTATGCATAAAATATTTCTCCAGTCTTGCCCATAAGTCACCAGGATGGCTCTGTTACTGATGGAAGATGATAGCAGTGAAGACACATTCCAGGCGCTGCTGCAGCTACATCGTCATCTCTCCTCTGAGAGTGGGAGGTTGAGGTTTCGGAGCCTTTGTTACCCCTTTGCTACCGTAAAAAAGAATGAAAAGTGTACCAAACTGACCGAAAAACTTTTTCCACTCAATTTTCAGAGCTTTTTTTTTTTTTCAAATAATATAGTACCATTCTTTTACTAATAACGTCAAAATAGTTAACTAGATAATGGCTTCACCGCATGACAATACAATCTAGATTAGCTAGAAACTGAAAGCCAAGACACAAATGGCCCAACATAGACAAGTGTGGATATTTAGTGTCAAGAAACACAACTATGACAATTGTAGTCACCATTGGCTTCCTGCAGGACCAATTTTTGCAGATGACAAGTATAGCTGTCATTGGTCATTTTATCCCCTTAGATGGTGGTGGCTACGTTTGTGTACGCAACCTTTTTATGCTAGCTGCGTCAACTTGTGGCCAAAGAAGAGCAAGATACAATAGTCGTGGGATCAACTTAACCAATCAACTTAACAATCAATATGTCTTAAACTAAACTCAGCGAGCTGAATATGACTGTAGTCGACCACTTTATCCAAGGGACTAAGATGTTTAACGGTTTGTTCAATGTGTCGCTTTCTACAACCAATGTAAAATGTATTACTTTTTTCCCTCAAAGTGAATGCAGCAAAAAACTGATTGCACACATTTGGAGCCCAGTCTTTCTGATAAAATGGAACATGACTGCCAGCAGCATAATGCAATACTTTATTGCATGCTAATTGCAGTTATTTACTGTGATTCCCACAAAAAAGCACATCACTTTCTTTTATTTCTTGAAATGTAATATTGAGTGCCTTGGAATTATTATATGTGATGCAGAGAAGCTTCCGAACACTGAAATTGGTCGAACTTTCAAGTGCCTTCCAGTGGTTCTACCCAAAAAGGATGCTGCTCACGCCGAGAGTCCGTGCTTGGTCGTTACTGTGGCCATTGTGTATGCTCGCTGTGTGCCGGCTAATAAACGCTCTAACGAACTGGTGGAGGTGTGGGGTGCATTGTAATGTGTAATAGAAAGTGGTGCATTGTAATGTATGCCTGAAGGGGTTATGCTCATAAACGGGACAGAATGGGTACAAACTCGAGGTGTGCAAATATTTGAAATTTCAAATATTTTTTAGTACTACTTGTTATTTGATTCGACTCACACCGGAAGTTTACTATTCGAACTTCCCGAAAACAAATACAGTCAACACCTGTATGACAGTGGCCCCTTCATATTTTCAATATGCTTCACCCCATGATAATTCGTATTGTGGCAAAGCTGCCTTTCATGTTCTGCTACGGTCACTTGAGTAAACACTAGTTCCAACATGAAGATTATAGATTAGGCAAGAGATTGGGGAGGGGGAGAGGGAGGCTACATTAATCCTGTTTGGAGCACACCCTCGTCCACCATATCAGCTAGGAAGTTGAAAGAGGTGGAAAGTAGAGAAAGTAGCATCTTTGCCCTTCACGTAAAAAGTATTGTCGACAATACATTCATTGCACCAAATCACAAACATAAATACAATTCAGCTTCTGCATTGCCTTATTCTTAATAGTAATAATAATAATAATAACAATAATAATAATAATAATAATAATAATAATAATAATAATAATAATAATAATAATAATAATAATAATATCGGGGGTCTTACATCGCAAAACCATGATACGATTATGAGAGACGGCGTAGTGGAGAACTCAGGAAAGTTTGACCCTCTGGTGTTCTTAACCACGCACTGACATCACTCGCCTCTACCATTTCGCCTCCATCAAAATGCGACGGCCACAGCCAAGAGCGAACCCGCGACCTTTGGATCAGTAGCCGAGCACTATAGTCACTGTTCCACCGAGGAAGACTGCTTCATTCTCGATAAGGCAGCTATGAAACAGCACCCCTGTCAGCTCTTCATCAACATAATCAAAAGAAACACTTTCATGTTGCTATCTCATAAAAAAATGCTTAGAAATCCTCTCTAACTGTTTTTTTTTCTGCAATTTCGCTCTGAAGTATTCCAAAAAGATCCTTGACATATTTGAGAAATATTCGAAAAATATTCCATCCGATTCACACTCACATTTTAATATGCGAATTTGCTTCGCACTTAAATTTTAATATTTGTAGAACTCTTGTTCAAATGCTGTTGCTGCTTCTGAGCCCAGTTATTTGCTTGCTTTATATATTAAATGGTGAACACACAGCCATGACAAATTCATTACACAGTCTTCATAGAGATGCTAGGATGAAATGCTTGTATGATATTTTTCAATAGAAAAAGAGGAGAAAAGAGAGGAAATCACCCTTTTAATATATGTTTTCAGCAACATTTACTGTGAAAATCTACACCTGTTAGTGTCACAACCATGTAGTGTACGGTGATTGCATGTTTCTGACAGGTACGTATAAAAGAGTTTCCCCTGTACGTGCTTTTAGGTACCGATTTCTGCAGTGTTAAAATGAATAAATTGGAGAGGAAATCAAGCATGACATATTCCATACTTTTGTAAGCTACTGCGGCTTCATTTGGCTAAAAAGTTGCAGAATCTGCAGCAATTGAAGCCCTTTGAGCAGTCACATTACCAAAATCTTAAAGACTGTCCTGCAAGAACACATTAAAAGAAAAAAAGGAAGGGGGGAGTACATATACCTTGCAATAATTTTAGTCCTAGGATCAATAAAAGCTTTTTTATAAGCAATTTTATTTAACCATAGTAATAAAAAAGGAAGCAACTTTTAACACATTGTTTCACAGTGTTACGGAAAAGAAGAGACGCCGTATAGACGATGCTGTGGATTAGATGTATTGGAAACCAGCGGTAATGACGTGACTGGTTGACCAGCGATCGAGTGGAGACAACCCTTCGTCTTCCTCGTCAGGCACACAGGCGCGTCGCCCCCTAGAATATCAATATGCATGCATGTAGCATCCCCGGCGGCAGAAGCGCTGTCTCGGTGCATCTAAATGTCAACGTCACTAGGAGAGTGGTAGGGCTTCAAGCGCGCAACATGTATAATATCGGTAGCCTGTTGGACACATGAAGGCGACGGGGCGACAGAATCAATTTCATATGTCACAAGAGTAACCACACGAAGGACTCAGTATGAACCTGTGTAGCGACTAAGCAGTTTTTCTGACAAGTCTACTTGACGAGTAAAAGACCACAGCAGGACCAAAGAACCGGGCGGAAAGTGTACCTCGTAATGTTGTTGATCATACAAACGCTGTTGCTTCTCTTGAGAGGTCAGAAGGCGAGTGCGGGTGATTTCGCGTGCGTGAGCGGCCTGAGTGATAGCGTCCCTGGCATATTCACTGGTCGGTAATGCAGGGGACGGTATGACGGTGTCTAGAGGCAATGTTGGTTCTCGGCCAAACACCAGAAAAAATGGAGAGTGACCGGCAGTGTCATGGCGCGAATAATTATAGGGAAATATGACATACGGCAACGCGAGATCCCAGACGATGTGGTTGGTAGAAACATACTTAGCGAGCATGTCTGTAAGAGTTCGATTTAGATGCTCCATGAGTCCATTGGTTTGCGGATGGTTTGACGTAGTCAGCTTGTGTCTCGTTTGACAGGACTGCAAAATTACGGCTATGACCTTCGACAAAAAGGTGCGGCCACAGTATGTAAGCAGCTGTCATGGGTCTCCGTGTTGCAAAATCACGTCCTTGAGGAGGAAGTCGGCGACATCTATGGCACAGCTTGTTGGAAGAGCTCGTGTGATGGCATAACGGGTGGAGTAGTGGGTGGCCACAGCTATCCAGTTGTTACCCGAGAATGACAAGGGGAAGGGCCAAGTAGGTCGCTGCCAACGCGGAAGAACGGTTCTGACAGAATGTCAAGTGGTTGAAGGTGTCTGGCGGAAAGTGTCAATGGTGTTTTGCGGCACTGACATTTCTCACAAGCCACCACGTATCTTCTGACTCAGCGTGCAAACCCTGGCCAAAAGGAGCGCCGGCATATTCGGTCGTAAGCGCGTGACAAGCCAAAGTGACCGGTAGTCGGAAGGTCATGAAGTTCATGTAGAACTTCCGAGCGAAGGTGTTTCGGAATAACAAGCAGCAGTGCCGGTCCATCCCGCTCAAAATTTTGGTGGTATAATACACCATTGTGGAGCATGAATGAGCGATGGGACTGATTTAAAGAC